AGCTGGAAGAAGGAAAGGGCATAGGTGGTGGAAGACAGAGCTGGCCTTGCTAGCACCATTGTGTTTTCAAGAAGAAAGTGGGAAGTACTAAAACAACAAAATACAACACAGTGGTGGTTAAGGTGACCTGAAGTATTGTGGCCTGTACTAATTCATGAAGGACTAAGGAAATACCCCATGACAGCTAATTGGAATTTATGTAAACTATACTGCAGGCTGCAGCTGTTTTCCTTTGTAATAGTTAAAGTTTAAAAGAAAAGGTTCAGGACTACACACATTGCTGCCTCAAAAATTGTTGAATGTGGCTATTAGAACTGGATACTAAATTATGTAAAAAAAATCAAGAAAGAGAAAGAAGAGTAGGTGAACATGTGTGAAAAATATCCCATAAAAATCCTTTTATAATAGCAGCCTATTCATCTTAGAGTTCTGGAAATATCTCAAACAATTCTGATTTGTCTTTTGTAGCTTAGTGCTATAAAAGAAATCTCATCAGGATAAATGTTATTATCCAAGCTTGTTTGTCTATTACTGTTATCCTGAATGTATTCTGTTGGCAGTTTATTAAAATAAGGACTCACTTATGGCCCGTCTAGTGTTTTTGGTCTAGTATTCACCATTCTTGATAGAAATACATACCATTTCTAATTTTTCTAAATCACATTTAAAATCCCACATCAGCCCATCTGCACAAAGGATCAAATCCTTTAAACGGTAAACAGAGAAACAAATTTTTATTTTGTGTCATTAACAAAGTTAACAACTGTTCTCTCTCAGGCGTGCTTTTAATGCAGTGTAAATAAATACCAGCAAAGGTCAAAGAACTGATCACTTTGGGACCATACAGCTAATGTTCTTTCAAGCACAGCTCATCCTACATTTAAACTATTTTTGTTCCCTTTTAAGCCATTATCTTATCCTAATGTAGTCTATAATCTGTAGCTGAGATAATGATGTAGAACACTGTCAAAGAGTTCACCAAATTTAAAATAGCAATATGCTATTAGAGGACATGAAAGCAAAGTATGAAAATCCATAAGAAAGTTAACTAAAATGTCAAAAATGCATACAATGGAAAGAGAAATATTTTTCATTGTATACATTTCATTCTTGCATTCGTCAGTACTTAGGGTGACAATTTCTGATTTAGTCCACATTGTTAATACATTTGTACATTTTCAAGGTCACTGGGGTCTTCTCAAAAAGTGAAGTGTTTGTTTATTAAAAACCATTAATAGGTCATTTGGGTTTTTTTTCCTATCTTCCTGGAGGTGCTCAGATATCAAGATGATAGAGAGGCATGGTAGAAACTCCCAAAGAAATGGACTGCCATTGCCTATACGTCCAACAAGCACAACAACTATCAACTCAAAAACATTTCTGTGGTATCAACAATGGAGTTATGATTTGGCAGCCCAAGGGTGAGCTTGTTTGCCATGGGGATTCTCAATGGCTGCCAGTTGAAAATGGAATGAAGCATCTACTCAATTATCTCTGCTTTGAATTCGTTTGTTGTTGGTTTTGGGTTTTGTTTTGAGGGATTTTTTTTTTTTTGGGTGGGAAGGAATGTTGTTTCTGCCATTTTAGTGGCCAAGATAAATGGCACAAAAAAGTTGCCTTTTGAATAAGAAACCTTTCTGAGTACAAACATTGTGGGCCCATGTTGGATTTGAGATCTCACTTCCAATATTAACGGAATATATATAATATATATGTCATTAACTCATTTTGGTCTGAAGCAAGATAATGCCATTGAAAACAATTCATAAAGATGTCCATCTAGAAAATACTGCAGAGGTAAAAGCAAAGGTTCATGGAAGGTCTGAAAGAGTTTCTTAATCACTTACCGTAGCTAAAGCACAGTGTATTGTTAATATATAAACAGTAATTACTCTGTAATTTGGCGGTCATTAGAGTTGCCAGGTGTCCAGTTTTGAACCAGACAGTTCAGTATTTGAGCTTTCTGTTCAGGAAACAAATTGAGAAAATATAAACGTCCAGTATTTTCTAAATAAGATGTAATGTAGATTGACGTGTAATGTCAAGTGTGTCCGGTATTTTTGTTGAAACAATCTGGCAATCCTAGTGGTCACCTACCATGTCATTCTAGAAGGTAGAAATAACCAGATTTCATAAAGATAATTTAGGGACTGATTTCAAATGGAAATGCATCAGCAGTTCCCGTAAACCTGCTTTTTGTTTTCCAACCACCACCATGGACCTGAACTAGAGATTTATACTCTGCACTTCTCAGGGTCAGGCCTGATTTGCTTGCTGGATATTATGAACAAATTCATTGTTTAAAAAGGAGACTTTAGTATATTTAAAAGGATACAGCTGATAAACATATGAGATGGAAAAGGCACCAAAATATCCTACAACAGTGGTTTCTAATCTTTTTGATACTGGGGACCAGTAAAACCCATTCACAATTTTTTGGAGGACCAGTAATATTTATTTGTGTATTTGCATATTCATTAAGCAAATGATGAATATGCAAATAAATTGTTTCTGGTCCTCCCAAAGCCCCCAGTGCCCACAGGAGTGGGCCGTGTCAATGCCCTGGGCAGTTTCCCGAGCCCAACCCTGAGGTATCTACTTTACTCCCGTTCGGGACTGGTAAGGTTAGAAGGTCCCTCTCAGGCCTGCCGGGTGACTTGGCTCGTATGGGCCCTGGAGGCCGGGTGAGTAGCCCTGTGTCCTCTCCCCCACTCGCACCTGCGTTCTGGGTGAAACCACAGGCCACACCCTGCCCGGGGCATGTCGCTGGCCTTACCTATCCAGTGGGTTGTTCCGTCCCCTCCCTCCCTGGAACCCAATCCCGGCTGCTTTATCGGCTGCATCCAGCATTCTGCGTTGGTGCACACGGCCTTCTCCTTGGGTCCTAGCGCCTGCCTAATTTAGACCCACCACCTGGGAGCATGCCCAGCAGAGACACTGTGGCAGCGGGCTCTCCCCCAAGAATTATGCGTGAAAATTTTTCTGAGGACCGGTATCTTTTTTCCGAGGACAAGTGCTGCACCGCAGACCACACTTTTGGAAACGCTGTATTACAAGATTCATTTCAAACAAATATTCTTTAGAAACAAAACCTTCTTCATGTTTCTTGCTTAACAGAAGTCTTAAAAGCCAACAGTTATGTTTTGCTGTTACTTTTAGAAGTTCCCCTCACACTGGGAAAAACAAAACAAAAACACTCATGGTTTGCAATTTCAGAAATGGAGATAAGCAAGAAACTAAATGATTGATTTATAATGTGTGTAGAAACTCTTCAAATACTTTTGCTGGCTATGATATTTCCTAGCATGCCAAATAGTAGGGGAATTCCTTCATTCCAATCATTCCTGTAACTCTGGAAATGTAACCTCTGCCAAGCTGGCAGACAGCATGAGATCATTCCTTAATATATTATGTTAGAAATAAGTAGTTGAGAAAGTACTAATTCAAGATTGTGGCAATCACCTTTTCACAACCAGGTCAGTAATCAAAATATTCAGTCTCCACAAAAGCCTTCAGACATAGGGATGTAATCGTGCAGTCGATTAACCAATTAACCGATAAGCAAAAGCTTACAGGTTAATACTATAGACTACATGCATTCCTTCCTCCCTTTTCCAGTAAACTTTTTAGCAAGCTGGCCAGCAGCCTGACTCAGTCCTGGCTCATGCCAAGTCTGGGACTTCCCCCTCGGCAGCTCTTCATTTAAAATATATTAGGAGCCAGGCAGGCAGGCAGATGGGCTCAGTTTTGGCTCACCCCAGATTCATGATCTCAGCCCCCAGAGGCAGTTGCCATCCCACGCTGCTGCCTCTGTATCAGAGGCAGCAGTGTGGAGCAGCAAGCAATCAGTCTGCGAGGGGAGCTGGTTTTTTAACTGGCTCTCATCGCAGACCAGCTCCCGCCTGGCACTGCGCTGCTGCCTCTGATACAAATGCATCAGCATGTGGAGTGACAGGGAGCTGCTCAGGAGTGGGGCTGCAGCACACTGGCTGCCAGTCGTGCCCCCGGGGACTATAGAATAGTCAAGTAACTGATAAGAAATCATGAGGTTAAACGACTATTCAATTAACCAATATTTAACATCTTTATTCAGGCATCTGTATTCTAAAAGACCTGCTAGACTGTAAATGTCTTCCATTTTCAAGGTCATAACATGGAAAGTTTATAACACAGCACAAGTAAAAACTTTTGACATTAACAAAATGCCTTAGTTGTGCAGGTCCTATTGATTTTTATGGACATCAAATCACAGTGGGCGTCTCTACTGCATCTGAAAGCAAGTCTCCCAGGATTGGTTGATAGACTTAAAATATCTGTGTAGATATTGTAGTTCAGGCTTGAACCAGACAAGAGGTAGGATGAACTTGAGAGTCCAAGTCCAAACTGAGCAACAATGTTTATGTAATGACAAGCGGAATCTAACCTGGGACCTTGAGAAGCTTAATACATGAGCCTCTAACTTATGAGCTAAAACCCCTCTCAGCTAGGCTGTAGAGCAGACTCATTATTCTCTCTGTAAGTGGTCTTGGTGCCACTAAGTGGGACAATACACCACACCTAGATTGTGTGTTGGTTTCATCTACACAGCTATTTTTGGTGTGCTAGCATAAGCCCCACTAATGCAAATCTGTCAACCTAAGCTGAGAGGTTCGTTCCCAGATGCCATGTAAACATACCCTAAATTGTTTGAAACAAACAAATGGGGATAGTGTAAAGAAACAGTTTTACCAACTGGACCCTGAATTTTACAAAAGGTTCAGACTTTCTGCCATATTTAGTCCACACTTCTCTTTATAGAAGGGACAGAAACTGGTAACACCACTATGCCACCTTCATACAAATTGGCACATCAACTAGCCCTTATGTGTATGGGCAGTGAAGATGCCTTTTTCCGATTCATTGATTTCACACTTTGTTTATTTATAACTCTTTAAAGAGTTCTAATTCTTTATTTTTTAAGGAATAAAACCACAGTGAATAGATATAAATATATGCCTTACCTCCTCCCACTGGTGTATGTATCGAATTAATCTTGAAAGTCGTAATAAACGTAACAGGCTGAGGATTTTTGTAAATCTCACAATGCGAAGTGCTCTAGCAGTCTTGTAAACCTCTGAATCCATCCCTTTTTCTACAATGAGAAAAATATAATCCACTGGTATTGATGAGATGAAGTCAACTACAAACCAGCTTTTTAAGTAATTCATTTTGATGACTTTAGGGTCCAGTATTATTTCAGAGCTGTCTTCATTGACAGTCCCAGTTCTAAAATTCATGATCAAGTCCAACAGAAAAACAGTGTCTGATGCTACATTGAAAATAATCCATGGTGTTGTTGTTTGCTCTGTAAAGAATGTGATTCCAACTGGTATGATGACAAGATTTCCAACCATCATTATAAGCATTATTAAGTCCCAGTAAAACCTAGAAGAAATAAAATCACCATCAGAATTATTTATGCAATTATAAAATTCAAAAAACATCAATTTAATGTTGAGTATTTAGTTGTATAAGCCCTTTGGGATCATGTATATGTCTTTGCATCTGTACATTACAGGTAATATGCAAACCAGTCGCAATTTTGCCTAAGTGAGGACTAATGATGAGTCCTATATACAATAATAGCTCTTCTGTATATTTTATTTATTTTATTAAGGCTATGTGAGTTCTTTCTTTTAACCTATTTGAAACATGTAGAATCGCTGTAAAAACTAATAATTATATAAACATTCCACAATCCGCCTGCTAATGACTGGCATCTGGGATAAATGAAGGATTGTGACAAGGCATTAGTTTATTTCCTCCATGGCATATCTGAAAGGTGAAAATGTGATTCAATAGATTTCCCCAGATTTCCTGTCAAAACCTATCAGCGTGTTTACATAAAAAGCACTGATGCCTGGTGTCAATCATGAATGCTTTAGCAAGCTAATGAAATTCTTTCTTGCCTTCTATCCAAATGGAAACCCAAAAGCTAGCAGATAATGTGCCAAGGCACCCAGATAATGTACCCACATCATAACTACATTGGAATGCAACTGTAAACCCAGAAGCAAAAATAAGCCCCAAACAACAACACCCAAAAATCTTCATCCAATATTTCAACCTGAACAAAACTATCTTTTGTGAGGCACTGAAATGTTTGGACAGTAGAGTTGTGGAAAATACTTTTGGGAAATAATTTATTTCCTCAGAAATGCATCATTGATCATCCAAAAAACTTTAATGAATGTATGTGGAATTCACTTAATATTTTCAGCCAAACTGATTATCTCTCACGCTCTTCTCCCTGTCCCTATGACAATGAATTGCCAGTATGAATGAGAAAAGTCACTGGAACAGCTTCAACAGGAGAGACTGGGAAAGACCAATACCTAAACATTCCAGAGCCAGTAGTTAGATTATTCATTTGAAAGGTGGGAAACCAATATTCAAATTAGGGATGTTAAATTTAGTTTAATCAACTATTTGACTAGCCAATGGATTTTCCATTGACTACAGGCAGTCCCCGGGTTATGTACAAGATAGGGACTGTAGGTTTGTTCTTAAGTTGAATTTGTATGCAAGTCGGAACTGGTACATATTGTAGGGGAAACTCTAGCCAAACATTTCTCCAGAGCTCAGTTTTATTCTCCCACACCTCACTTCCCTCAGTCCTTTATTCGCAAGCTGAGGTGTCTGCTGAGAAAAGCCGCTCCGCATCTCCCTGGTCTGCTGGGGCGGGCGCTAGCTTCGCATCTCCCTGGTCTGCTGGGGGGGAGAGGCGCTAGCTTCGCATCTCCCTGGTCTGCTGGGGGGAAGCAGCTAGTGCGGGGTTGCCTCACCCCGTTTGTAAGTAGGGACGATAAGCCTGTGGGCTCTTAATACATTTAAAAGGCTAATGCACAGCAGGAGGGACACAGTGCGAGCCGGGACACCTGATTCCCGGCTCACACAGGGCCTACCCTCTGCCACACACCAGCCTTTTAAATGTATTTAAAAGGCTGGTGCGCAGCAGGAGGGACCTGGCACAAGCCAGGGTTCAGCTGTCTCAGCTCACGCTGAGTCCCTCCTTGCCTTTTAAATGTATTAAGAGCCTACTGGCTAATCCTGGGTTCCCCCTGCTGTGCTTCTGATTTTTAAATGTATTAAGAACCAGCAGGCCTTAATAAATTTAAAAAGCAGAGGTGTAGTGTCTGTGACAGGCGCAAGCCGGGAATCAGCTGATTCTTGGCTCATGCCTCATCCCACTATTGCCCTGCCCCCCCGCAGAGATTGTGCTAGAGGGAACCGGCTTTAAGCCGGCCCCTCCCAGCACTGGCTCCTGCTCCCACCACTTGCTGACTCTAATCAAGTTACTTACATCCCTAATTCAAATCACTTCTCAGGAAGAGATGAATACTGACTCCAGAGCTCTCACATCTGGGGTGAGTTTCCCAACCTGCAGGCTCAAAGTTATAAGAGTTAGCCTGCTCCATTTTGTTAATCTAGGCCTGTTTTCTTTTGTCAAAATATCCAAAATCTAAATGAAAAATTCTAAGTTGGCTTGAAACAAGATATTTTGTTTTAATTCAACTTGAAAATTTCTTGAACTTTTGATTTGCTGAAAATTTCTAAACATTTTTGGTTCACCCGTAAATGAAACATCATGATTTCTCAGAATTGCCAATGAACTGAAAACATCAATTATTCACTCAGTGGTATTAAATAGTTGTAGGTCTCCTGTGTCAAAATCTCACAAGTTGCATCTTCTAGATTTCTGATAGGTAGCATATTACTCCATACTGCAACAGAAAGATCCATAAAGCTCTTCTGGCCATTCTACTGCCCAGTTTTCTTGACCTTTAACATTTTGAGGATGACACATTACATTTAGGTACAATTCTCCATCTCAAATCCCTAATGTTTGCTGCAGAAATGTAGTCAGGTCAGTAACCTACCATGCAGAATATGCATCCATGGGTTTGAGGTGGAAGGCCTTAGGCTGGGACATTAAGTAGAAGGATGCATGATTCCCCACCCCACCCCCATCCAGAACACAACTCAGGGAAGATAGTCTTTGTCCAGTACCCTCGGGACCTGACTGGTGTGGAACCAGAGAATTTGCTGGGTCAGAGGAGGTCAATAATGTCTAGCAGCATTTTCAACATTTCCACTGTTTACTAGGCTCTTAGAAAACAGTTAGTGGTAAATTAGAGCTAAATAACAGCAGGGAACACTATGAGCTAGGACTAGCAGCCATAAACAAATTTTATGGGACTGCGAGAATCTAGGCCAGACCCATGGTAAGTGGATATCCGGCTAACTAAAATTATTCTGGACCATGGATGTTGCCGGACCAGAGAGTGCTGGAGTAGAGACGTTCAACCTGTAGTACCATATCTTAAGGAACTTGAGAACAGCCATAGTGGATCAGTTCAATGGTCCCATCTCTGACAGTGCCAGTGCCAGATGCTTCAGAGGGAATGAGCATAAAACAATTTTGAGTGATCCATCTCCTGCTAACTTCTGACAATTGGACAGTAAGGACAACTGAAGCATGGGTTTATAGGACCTATCCTCAATGAATTTTTCTAGTTATACTTTTGGCCTTCACAACATCCCATGGCATCTTGACAGTGTGTTGTGTGAAGAAGTTCTTTCTTTAGTTTATTTTAAATTTGCTACCTATTAATTTGGATATCTATATGAGGCAGAAGATAAATGATTTAACTAATTATACAAAGGATTAAAACCAACTAGAAAATACACTCTAGAGCAACCAGAAAGATTCCATATGTGAGAAATATTTGCTCCAATGAAAGTCAAAATAGATTAGTCTTTATTATTAAAGTAGCTTTAAAGTGAAATTCAAAAATTCACACAGATCAGACCCTTGCAAATAATCCCCTATCTATTTTGTGCATCCTTATTTCTTTCCAGTGCATTTGTAAACTTGCAATAAACAAAGCATGATAGCAAAACTTTAAAAAAAATCTCATTTTTTCCAGACAAATTTTGTGGCTCCAATTTGATTAATAACTTGATAAGATTGCTGGGAGAGTGCACATTCATTGGAGTAAATGCCTACCAGTCCATTAGCAAAACCAGTACAAAGGTTCTTGAACTTGTATAACAATGGGGTTTTTAGATATGCTAGAATCACTGAATAGATGAGAAAGCTGATCTACTTTCACAAACAATAGGGCTGTAGCCCATAATTACTATCCCTGCATCACTTCTACAGAATTCTGTGCTAATGATTTAACTGCTTTGAAAGAATTTATGAACCTCCCAAGAAATCCTGAAAACTATCAGAACAGAACTAGAATAATCACATAGAATAAGCATATATATCTATAGTTCATTCCTAAGCAAGTTATTGCTTAACTTCTAATTGACCTTGAAGCTTAAGAGTCACAGGAAGTAGGTACATAACTAAGCCCAAACAGAGCCAAGCACCAAACAAACAAAACCCAGAATTCTGAATGGAGAAATTTCATCCCTAAACAATCCACCATACAAATGAGTTAATTATACATTATGATTATGCAGACCACTATGCTCTTTCTAGTACTGAAGGTCAGCAAAAAGTTTTATTAAAATCAGGCTTTATAGAACAAAATAAGATTAAAAAACCAAACTATAGGATTGTACCAAAGTTCTGACTGTTTTTATTCCAAAAAAAAAATGGAATCTGAGTAGCTATTAAGAAAATGGATGACTATCTCATTTGAAAGTATTTATTTTCCTTTAGAAAATTCTCCAATACCCTTCTGTTTGTTTTTTATTATATGATATCTCTCAGAAAAAATGAATTGGATGGACACACATACCCTTGCATCTAGAGTCATTGATTCTAAGGCCGGAAGGGATCATTTTGATCATCTAGTCTGACCTCCTGTATAGAATAGGCCACATCGCTTCCCCAAAATAATTCTGAGAACAGATCTTTTAGAAGAAAAACAATCCAGATTTTAAAATTGTCAGTAATGAAGAATCCATGATCCTTGGTAAACTGTTCCAATGGTTAAAATGTACACTTTCTTTACAGTCTGAATTTGTCTCGTTTCTGCTTCCACTCACTGGATCATGTTATATCTTTCTCTGCTAGATGAACTTCTTCCGTTATCAAATATGTTTTCCCTATTTAGATACTTATAGGTTGTAATATTGGCACCCCTTAATCTTCTCTTTGTTAAGATAAATAGATTGAGCTCCTTGCATCTGTCACCATAAGACATGCTTTCTATGGGTACGTCTACACTACAGAGGAAGATCAAAGCTGCTGCTGTAGATCTTCCAGGGTTCAAATTAGTGGTCTAGTTAAGACAGCTAATTCCAAGTGACAGGGGCAATCCAGTCAATGCCGGTAACCCTACTTTAACGAGGGGTAAGGAAAGTCAAAGGAAGAGTGTTCTTCCTTCGATTTCCTGCAGAGTAGACAGCGCCAAAAGCCAAGTTAAG